CTAACTTCTCAATTAATAAGTTATGTTTGAGCATGTCGAATGCTTTGCTAAAGTCAATAAATACTAAAATAACATGCTTTTTCGAATTAAGTTCTATTCAGTAAATATAATTTTCTGTATTAACGCTCTTTTTTCCCTGTCTCGTTTTCTTGTTAATGTTTATGTTAATGTTTTACAATGTTTTTTTGGAAATTCACTTTCGTATCCAGATTCGAAACCTACACTTAGGGAGACTAATCAACAAAAAACTAATTTGGAGTACAGTATCACAAAAAAAGAAGATTAATTACTTAGCTGTACGCAATTTGTGAACTAAATGCAGCAATTCAGGTTACAATATTTTCGATTGTTAATCTTGCAAACTGTCTACATTGTGGATGCTGGGTACAAGCTGCAGGCTACAGGTTACAGCTCGCTTTGTGTCTCAGTGTAGTCTCTAATTACACGGTGGCCGGTGTCGCTGCATGAGGTGAGGTCATGTTAATTACTCCTTTGATCCCGGAAGCTGCCCCCGCTCCGCCGTCCCTCCGCTACCGCCGCTCCCCCGCCCCCTGGCCACACAGTGTAGTGATCATGAAATTGGTCTCGTGGGCGACCCTCACACAGTCTCTATATTTCTGACCATTTGACATTTACTCCTTGATACAACATAAACTTCATTAAGATGGAGATTGAATAAACAATATACAGTTACATTGGGCTCCCACTCACAGAACATGTCAGTAATCGAATACGATATAAACGGATCAGTGTTTAACGGCAAATCATGAGACATATCTTACTAGATTTACGTTAGTCCCAAGGCAAACACAACCAAGTGATCATTTTTGCGTAACTTAATTGTAGATTAAGGTGAACTTAAAAAAACACTAGGCCACATTATGTGAACCTAAATTAATAGGTCATTTGACCGTGACATTGATATAATTGTGGAGCCTTGTGGTGATAAGCATTTATGAAACTTGTAACAGGCTAAGTGTCGAAGGTGCAGGGGACGGGACGTAAAACTGGGTTACTCGGAGCTCGCTCGAGGCAGAGAATTAATCGCCTCGAGCGACAAGCTTTTTTCATCCGCAATGGATTTCTTTGTGTATTCACACTTTTAATTACTTTTACATTTTCAGTGAGATTTAAATAACAAGCTAAAGAAATTGCCTTTTCACAATGAATAAGATTTTAAAATTATGTCAGTAGGTCTCTCCGGTTAGTGTTATATATAAAAATATAATGTTCTAAAATGTGATTTCGTTACTTTTCTTCAATTACAATACGAGTAAATAGGAAATCATTTTAGTTTGAAGAGGACAATTTTATATACTTTTAATATTTGTTGATTCTGCGCACGTCCCCCAGAAACTTTGATTATATTCACAAAACTCTGTCAAACTCCCAACTCGACCGCGGCTATTTTACTTGAGGTTTGTCTTCCAATTTAAGGACACTTTGTTTGAATAAATTGCGGTCAATCAACAGTTTGTTAGCGAACTTTAGATGAGGCTATCTGTTCTTTATTTTACTTCTCGTTCCAGAAACGTATCCTCGTTGAGTAAACAAATAAATTGATACTTATAAAAGCTTTTATAACTAACGATAATTGATTTTACAACACACATATTTTACATAATTTTAATTTACAGGAATTCCTCAATTGTTCCTAGTACCAGTAAGTCACTAATCTTAATTACATCACAAACATTTAAATGAAAAATTCTTCCTTTTTCGGTAGCTTATACAGATTCTGCCTCCGTTTTTACTACCGAAGGTTTTACGACGGTGAGAAAAAATGTAGCAGCGTAGTAGAGGGAGGTTTGTTTGTTATTATTAGGATAATCCGCGGGCGGTGGAGGGCGCTAAGCGCGAGTCGGCGGCGCGCGGCACGTCCCGCACACATATTTTTAATGTCTATTCTATTTTTTACGCATTAACCTATGATAAAGGATATTTGCCGTTGGACCGATCGGCCTATCCGCCAATAGAATTTTCTTATTGGGTCGATTAATCAATAGGCCGATCGGCCCAACGGGAAACACGAAAATTTAACCTAGTGACTGCTCCTTGGTCCGTATTCGATCAGAATTTATATTCAATGATTTTATATTAAACATAGTTTTTTTGCACGTTAACTTTAGTGCAATTTTATATTCATCCGGTCGCGCTATTTCCATAAAAAGAGATATAAAGCTTCGGATTCTCGTAATAACTTTTTAAAGCAATCTTATAGATACCATTGAGTTTTGTGACGTTGACATTTGGATTTCCGGTTATTAACAAACTAAATAAAACAGCTTATAGACACAAGTTTTTATTGTGTTTTAACATATAAAACATACAAGTACAACAATACATACGCTTACAGCTAGTGAACTAGTGACGAGTCGCGCGGCTCTGTCTGTCTTTCCAACGTAAGGTAAAACAAAACGAGAAATAATTAAATCTTTGGTATGTGGAAGCAATTTTATTTTTAACCTAAACATCCTAAAATCATTCTCATGTCATGACATTGTCGTTTTAGCTATTAATAATAGATGGCGCTGTTGTAAAACGACATTAATTGTAAAATATAAAGAATCAGAGATATCTCCCAGTATCAAAAATAATACAATAAAATAGGCAGACAGACAGCCCGCAGCACACGTACAGACAGACGTCACACCTACTGTTGTAGGTTCAAGTTATTACATTTCATTCAACTTGTCATTGTCTTTATTTTATTTAACAATAAAGCTACAAGAACTACATATTCTTCTAATTTAAACATTTATCGACATTGAGTCTTCAAAATCAATGAGCAACTGCGATATATTTACCAACTAAAATTGGTTCTTGTTTTAACAAATCGTCGCAGGAATTATTTTCTGAAACATGAAACATTTAATAGCAAGAATATAAAAATCCTGGCTTAAAAAGAGATTAGTTCTATATTTCTACGAAGTTTTTTATATTCCTGGTCAAGTAACGCTTTTATAATTTGCTACGTACTTGGCTTTTAAAAGTAGTTTCGTCTTAAAATGAGTGTATCCGATACATTAAGTGAGCGAGTTCTCACAACTCTTATTTTAATTTCAATTCCATACATTTTCTTATCAACTACACGATAAAATCGTCGTGGCTTTAAGACGTTTAATTTCTTTTTGGAGTTTTTAAAAATCTTTGGTTTTTTTTTTGGTGTCCCTTACAAATAATACGAATTATACTTCACTAAATGGGATTTGAATTAGCAATAACACTTCATTTACATTATTTTCATTACGCTTACTTATACATAAACATATAATACTTAAAACATAACATAAAGTGCAAATACAGCAATATTAGTGATTTTAAAGTTGAAACTAAAGTCGTGGTCAGTGCGCTTGGGACAGCGCCATCTCTCGGCGCGCACCAACATCACACACACATACACTTCTTGTCAAAGCCGCGCTGTGCCACACACAATAAAACTCATTTTTTTTAAATAAATCAATAATTTTGTGCGGGATTTTGGTCTATATTATAAAAAGAACAGTTTTGATCGTTTGCATCGAAATGGCTCCGAGACTCGTAGAACTTACATTAACGAAAAGTGTATGAATATAAGACATATACCTTTATTCCTAAAAAGAATTACTTGAAATGTATGTTTTTAGGAAATCGCGATTAAAGTTTCTTTGTCCTATGAGTTAATTTTTTTTTAATGAATAAAGTTGCCATTTATTCTTTGCCACCCTGGGGACGAATCACTAGTGTTAAATACCGACCTTTTCTGTGGAAATTAATTAAAAATATTGTGCAATAGTTTAGCAGGACAGCTCAGTTCAGCTCAGAGCAGCTCAGAGCAGGGCGCAGCGGCCGAGGCCGAGGCCGCGGCGGCGGCGGCGCTGCTTCTCCTCCTGCTGCGGATGCTTGCGGATGATGCGCACCAGCTGCGGCCAACAATAAACATGTACAAATTCATTTTCGTTTTATAGTACAAGGGGTCAAGGAGCGCGATTTTCATCATTTAAATTTATACTACTTATTATGATACAGAATACTATTTCTAAAAAAATGATTGTGATATCATCCAAAAATCACTATTCTCACATAATTTGAAGAAGCGTTCGAGGAGTAAAGGAGGTATAGGAAGGAGGTGCGAGAAGGTGCGAGAAGGTGAATGGAGGTGCGAGGAGACGCAGACCTCATGGAAGGCGGCGTCGATGTTGAGCGGCGGCTCCTTGGCGCTGGTCTCGATGTAGGGCGCGGCGAGCGCGCGCGCCAGCTCGCGGCCCGCCTCCTCGCTGACGGCGCGCGCGTGCACCAGGTCCACCTTGTTGGCCGCCACCAGCATCGGGTACGTCTCCCTGCGCACACACACACACACACTGGCCCTCTCCCCATGGACTGCCTCAACTCATCTGATCCTCGCTCCATCTACAGATCTTCGTTCTGTCGCGGATCACATTATTACAGAAGCGACCTCGCAGACCGACTACGAGCATTGACTCTTACAATTAGCATTTGCTTGACAGAGCTGACTAATGTTGTCCAGTAAGGAACCGATTCTGTTCTGCATGACATCACAGGTAACACACTCCGCTCGAAAATTTTCGACTTGAGACATCTTATTTTATCTTGTCTATGTCTCGGGGTAAAATGCAGGTTATTTCACAAATTCACATTTTAAAGTAAATAGTATGTTAATGTTCATTGACACAGATGTAACAAATGTGTAGTGTAGAGGAGTCACATGTGTACCTGTCCTTGACGCGCAGGATCTGCGTGTGGAAGTGGCGAATGTTCTGGTAGCTCTGCGCGTCGGTGACGGAGTACACGAGCAGGAAGCCGTCCCCCTTGCGCATGTACTGCTCCCGCATCGCGCTGAACTCCTCCTGCCCCGCCGTGTCCAGCACTGGATATGTAATTAACAAACTCAAAACCTAGAAACTACTTAACACAATATTGATTACAATGAAATACTTAAAACCTAGCTGAATGTCATAAAATAGTTGTAAACAACACAAAATAGTTTAAAAAAAAACATTGGTTACTACACTTGAATACCTTTAATGTTCTTGCAACCAGTATTGATAATATACAAATGAAAATACATATGTACTATCAAGATAACTGGCAGTTTAAAAGCAACCTTAAAAGCTAAATAATTAACATATTTGTAGAAGCCGAGATAAACTATTTTTAAATGTAAACAATAAAAGCTGGTCAATAATATGCAAGTAATTGCTGTTAACATATTGATTTTTTGTAAGAGTAATTTTTCTGTAAGTCATACATTGCAGATGTCTCCAACTGTACTCACAAAACCTCCTTTCAGTCAGGAAAAATAAAGTAAGTAAACATGTACCATCCAATATACACCACTGTCCATCAACTTCAGTGTGCTGTATGTAGGAGTCCTCAATAGTGGGGTCGTAGTCCGTCACAAACAGCTTCTGGAAGAACTGGATGGTGATGGCACTCTTGCCCACGCCACCATCCCCCACCACCACCAACTTCACCTGCAACCACCACACAACATATGTCACACTATAAACTTTACTAGTGGCTCAAAGTTAAAATTAAGTTGATGAGTTTTAGTGTTTACATATTATGTGTTTTAAGTACCAAAGTAATTATAGATCTTTTTAATTTTAAAGGTTTTATTAGAATAGAAAGTACCTAATTTGTACATTTCATATTGACAATAACAAGAGCTCTGTATAAAGTGGGAAAACATACTTTTAATTAATATATTTAATCTTATCAAGTTCCAATAAGCAAATATTCATCTTATCACTCTAAATTTCTCTTGAATAACAAATACACCAAAATCAATATTTAAATAATTGCAGACTATCTGGATTTTAATTTTAACAGTTATAATAAACTCTACCTAATATATTTAAATGTTTTAGAATAATCCAATATTGTTACACATCTAAAATTATTCATATAATTGTTCAGTCTCCATTGCTCCTTTTATGTATTTTTAACAATATGTAACATCTAACTAACAAGTAAATAGCTTACTGTGGGAAGATTATCGCTCGGAGGACCGGGGCGAGTCATTTTGTCTGCACAATTCGGCGCTTGGCTTCGAACACTCTCATGGGATATTATCTGTAACAATCCCAACCGAACCGTAAACCTTTTGTATCTATAAACATGTAGGCACAGTGCTACAAGTGCGTCCTACGCACCACCTGTATCTAAAACATAATTATACCTCGGCATTACTTCCTACACTTGTAAACAGTGCACGGTCGGACCTAGACGAACGCCGACACCCGCGATCGTGTTATAAATGCTTTGTTTGTTGACTTACAAAGCCAAACAGTGTAATTTATTTTTATTATATTACTTTTAAACCAGTTTTTTTTTAAAAGATACGTAAAATTACATAGACATTTATACGATAAACGAATGACAGTTGACAGCAGATGACATGAACATGACAGTGACAGTCATTTCGGATATTCGTTATAGAAATTGTATTTGTGCTAAAAAGATTCTGTTTCCATTGTATAAAACTATTCAAGGTGGGAATAGCTCATCTTCTGTCATTTATTCATACAAATTTATGTTTGAAAATAGTAAAGATATTAATTTGTATTGAAATATTTTCATAGAACTTTATTTCTGCGCGAATAAAATTACCAACATTGTGCCATAAGTCTTAAGATAATCATGGAGAAACTTAAATTCTACCTATTATAGAAGGCCTTTGTTATTAAACAAATAGTGGATTACCACGTTCATGTACGATGTTACATCTATTTGACGCTCTTATGGTGAAGAAAAACATCGCCATCCACACAATTTTATCCTCAACTAATGAGTGAATGAGATTTGTGTCCAGTTGACCTAGCCGCACTCGGCTAGCGTTATTGAAATCGTATTCTATCGTATGATCCCTCATCTGAAGGTTCACTAACTGTCATCATTATACTAAGATTAAGATGTTTTTTCTTCAGGTCATCCACTTCATTGCCGGCATGAGTTCTGAAGAGATTTATAACCAAACATGCGAAGGTACGTACTTTTAAATATTTAAAATAGTACAAGAGTTTGATTAGCGAAGGTTATGGGTATTGCACTGTCTTCTAAATAACAAACGTAACGTAACGTAGAAGAATACTACATTCACATGCATATGCTAACCGAAATATACCCTTGAATCAAAGAAAATCAGGCTTCTTTTGTTAGTTAATTCGCTTCCGAAAAACAAAGTAATCAGTCCCCAAGGAATCGTTCGGCTTAATCAAGATAAACCAACTCTATGTTCTCCGGCCCCGACAACTAATCGCTGCGATTAATTAGATCCCTGAATTGAATTGAACTGAGGATGGGCCTTTGGCACACATTACGAAATAGAGAAAATGGACATAACGATATTGGTATTGCACAGTTAATTTAAGATACTGCCAGAATCTTATCGTTAATAAATTAACAAAGTAAAGAATTTCAAGCCTTACGAGTTTTTTCATCGTGTGGGTCAATAAGTACTGATTTGAGCTTAAAACTTATAACAGAATATTCGGATAATAAAATGGCATCAGGTCAATGATCTAAAACACTATCGTGCACGCAATCGGCCACGCCTTTGCCTAGCTCCGCAGTGACCCAAATTTTTACACACTAGTCCACATGTTAAAGGTAACCGCTACGCACAACGGATGGTTAGCCTCTTTTGTAATTATTTTACCCAAAATTTAGCATCAGAAGTGTTCAGATTCGATTATCTCATAGAACTTGCCGATACGTATTCTGTAACAGAGCTGGTCACTTAACGTAATAACCTGAATGGTCGTTCGTGATGTCTTTTATTAGACCGTAATTCGCAGTACTTTAGATAATTCCATGTACACCTAACTAGTCTTTAAAAGTAGTGCAACATTTTAGGAGACACAATCACAAATCATTATAATATGATATTTTTTGTTATCGCCTCAACTTCACTAACACAAATAATTCGGCTTTGACAGACACGTGTACTGCTTAGTACATATTTACGACCCCCTCCGGGGACAGGGTGGGTAGCAGGTGCTGATTTATTGGCTTCTCTCGCCTCACTGATCCGTTTAGCGCCCTGAATCTACGAGATTGTGTTGATGTTTGTACCTTACTGTTGGCACTAAAGTAGTGTACAACCTTTATTTTATTTTTTGTTATATGATTTTGTATGATTAATCTATTTATTTTTACTTCATTGCAGTTAGGTCGATTAATAAAGCATTTAATGTCAATTAAAACTGAAAACGTATTAAAAAAATACGAATTCACTATAGTGTTTAATTCATTTTTTAATAAACTTCATCACAGCAAGTTAGTCGCTTTGTTACCGTTGTCATAGCAACGCACTCGACAAAATGGCTACCCTGTCGAGCTTCCCGCGCTTTCCCGCCTTATCGATTTTGCACGTTCTGAAATGCGATAAAACTTTTCCGGGAACTAGTTAAAACTGTCGATGTAAATTGCATTTTATATAGCTTCTGGTGTTTTGTTTTCAATGTGATTATTATTATAATCACAGAAAACATGTTACAGAACCTGACTAATGGTTTAATTGCATTGTTAAATTGGTGTAAATCACTAATTACAGCGGGTTCCTTTTTGTTGGAGTTCAACAAATGGAGTCAGTTTCATCGTAACGTAAATGTGACATTTACATGAAAAATCTTTCAGCAAAATGTAAATTCTTCAGAACTGTACTTATGTTTTCGAATGTCATAACCTTTATTGTGTCTTATCACATGAATTAATTAAAAACAAGCCCGTAAACAACATGTCGAGGTGAATACGTAACAATAAACACACGCCTGCGTATTGCAGAAATCAGTTTGCTTCTGAACGGACCCCGCCAACCGTCGAGCCGACCCTCAGTCCCTTGCGCACCTCCGATACGGGAGATCTTTTCCTTGCGCAAAACAACTGCCGGTTCATTGCACTTTGTTACATTAATCTAATAAATTATTCGACTCGAATTTTAAACAAAAATTGTACAGATAATGTGCGTACACTTAATTCATGTATGTCATTAAATTATCGCGAATGTGTTTGAAATGTTGATATTAAAAGGATGCTGAGTGGCCGGTAAGTAAGTCGTCTTAGTTAAGTAATGATAACACTCGGGAAGTGCTTAAAAAGACTAAGTGCGTGTGTTTGACGCATTAAAACTTAATCGGGCCCTAATTCTAATTACTGTTAGTATTTTTATATTAATTCACAGAGCGCTCTTATTTGTTACTATCCTTTGTTATGAAAAAAAATATGAATATTAACGGTATGTCGCTACCTTTTACAGCGTCGTGTACATCTGATCTCAGAACTAAGTTTTGTTACGTAATTTGATAATCGAATTCGTTTCCTCAAGATCGTGTAATAAAAAATGTAGACAAGATATAGATAAAAAAAGGTTTTACTTCAAATAGAGGGCAAGTAGCTATCGAGATTTCTGTAATGATTGCGGCAGCTCGTGCTTTGATTTCTAATTAGGACGACCAACAACAATCGTTGATCTGAAGACGATCTTTGTGTCGCGGAATGTGTTTTAATCTTAACAAAAGATCTGCTGATCCAATTAGTTCTTATAAAATTATTTAGTTATTTTATCTTAATAATCTTGGACTTATACGGAAAAGTGACTACAATTAGATGTCACACAAAGCCAAGTCATTTTTCTGACTATGGAGTATTGGTAATAACACGGTACCATTATTGTTAAGGTCAAAGTAGTTCCATTACTATTTAGGCAGTGCTCTCACAGAGTACTGAAGTCTAAGTATTAGACAAGATATTGTTAAACTGTTCATTGTTGCGCGCCGTGTAGTGGCTGTTAACCCCTCGATGTGCCGGCAAAGGGATGTTCACACCTGTACGCAAAGTGCACAAGACAATACCAACGAGCGCTGTGTTACACAACACAATGTTTTTACCCTCTTTTTAAACGTAAACATGGAGTTTCATGACCAAAAAATGACATAAAGATTAAGCAATCTTACTTCTTACTAATCTTACTAATATTATAAATGCGAAAGTTTAGATGGATGGATGGATGGATGTTTGTTAGCGTTTGTAGTCTAAACGGCTGAACGGATCTCCATGAAATTTGGCACAGGTTTAGAGCATAGTCTGGAAGAACACATAGGCTACTTTTATCCCGACAATAGTTACGGTTCCCGTGGGATTCATTAATTTAGTTTTTTAATGTTTACTCGATCATTCTGCAACGGTTCAACATATCTTATTGAAATTTGGCACAGATATAAAACAAAGTCTGGAGTACACATGGGATAAGCTTCATCCCCGACAAATGTCCGGTCCCCGAGGGATACGTAGATTTTTGTAATTTATATAGTTCGTTTGTTCTCTAATACCACGCGGACGAAGTCGCGGGCAACAGCTCGTATTATATAAATGTTTTTCATACAGGAATACAGTTAGCAATTTCTAGTAAGTGTAAAGATTTGCTACTTCCGAAATAATACTAGAAGTGTTAAAAAAAATAAAAACCAAGCAATTATTTTGAAAAAGCATAGACCAAGTTAATCCCTCAAGCCTCGGGGAACATTCAAATGAGAATTCGCTGACCGGGCGTCTCAGAACGTCGTATTTTTCTCACATTAATGATGGAATTTGTACAGAGAAATCTGTGCGTGATACAAGTGGTACAATTTTATGGTACAAAAAGGGTCAAGTGTGTCGCGCGGCCCCAGGCGGTGTCCTAGCCCACAGACATCGCGCAGCTCTTATCCACCGTACTGCTTCATAAGTACACTTTAACTCAAACAGATCACATGGTATTTTCAGATGAAAGTATTCACGATAAATTTTTGAGGTGCAATATTTAAGTAAAATGTAATTTAAGTAAAATTTAAGTAAAATGTACATACTAACATAATATTGGATCTTTATCTGTAATAAATAAATATTATTATTATTATTATTATTTCTCGAGGAATAACTTATTTCGCGGTGGAACAATGCTGGTGAATTTCGCAGTGAAAGGTGTTTGTTCCACAATTTAATTAGTGTGCAAGTATCGCACTAATCTATCGTAAGTTCGCAGAAGCAACTTTGCAGTTATAAAATCTTCTTTAATATATCGTCTGGGTTTTACGATTGATTAATGCAAATACACAAAGACAGCTACAAGCAAGTATTAGAGTTAAGAAAACAAGCCTTAAGTGAAGATTAAATGAAAATCCGTCAGCTGTTCGTGTATGGCGCATATAAATTTAAGAAACTCCACTTCCTTAATGCCGATTGCTTGAACCAGAGTATAGTAGGTCTTACTGTGAAGTTTCACCTGCTTTATTTAATACTGCCAGATAAGTCTATTTAATCTTTGAGAATAGATACCATCTGTTTCTGTCGTAAATGCATAATCGATGAGGGTGCTACAGCTATAAGATTCGTATACAGAAGTCCTTTAATTAGGCTCCAACAAGCTGGCGTCTGGTCGTTGATAGACGGACTCGATGTTATTACATAACAGCATCGGTAGCGGCCACGTGAGGGCTGTTCACCCTCTGAACGAGGCGGGGACCTCTCCGCGAGCAATAACCAACTTTAAACTTAAAATGTCAAGGAATGTTTTTCCTAATTTGTGAATAGTAGTGTGTAAATAAAGTGTGTTGTGGTGAATCCGCAGTTAAAATGTTGACGGTAATAATATTTTGAGTATTTGACATTTTGAAAAGACTTTCGGTCTAATTAGCTAAACATTTTATTATTTTGTGAATTTCTATCCTATAGGACTTACAAATCTGAGAGCGAATAACTACGAATATCAAGAATTATTTACTAACATTTATTCCCTAACTATAATAATTTCACAATTTGTCATACATTACTTTAGCTGTCAAATTTAAATGTAATGTATTTTTCATTTTACGTTGACACTGATCGACTGAATATTTCCTTCGGATCAGTAACAAATCATACAATTATTAGTAAATATCAAAATCAGTACCTTTAACTTAAGTTAACTTTGTACTTAATGCGTGGAATAAAATATTAAATAAAAAAGTCCCCTCCCGAGGATTATTAGCGAGCTACATCCTTTTGAAGTACATGAAAGAGAAATATTTAGTTAATGCCGCACGCCCCGACCGCGCTCATCCTCAAAAACATTTCGATGTTTCGAACATATGAAACTTTTCAATGAATATGCTAAATTTTTACGGTGGTACAGAATTGCGTTCTTTTTTAACATAACGAATGCTGGCGGAGGTTCTTACTTAATTTTGGCGCACAAATTAAATTATTTTTTTTAATGTTGACGTCGGTAAAAAACATATGTTAAATTTTATTTTTAACCGATTTCAGAAAAGATAACTTTTCTCAATTCATCTATCAGAAGTTAGTGAATGCAACTTGCAGACGGGGAACTCAAATCCAATTTGTCGGGCCCATGTTGCCGCCGGCTGGGGCCGGGCCCTTCACCGTGACGGGAATTTAAATCGATGCAAATGTGACACCGTGTCGATGAGTGAGACTAGACAATGTGACAAATGACACGGTGGCTGTTTTTATTTGATGTTGATCAGTAACGAAAATACACTGAATATTCTAGTATACAAACAACAAGGAACTAAGTTGTTAGCTAGATTGCATTCTTTCTAAAAAGCCACAATCATGTGTAATATTTAATTAGTATTTTCTTACAAATTCTTCATAACTCTAGGCACTATACACAAAAGTATGAATAATCAATAAAACCATATTATATCTTATGACAATATTTCAAGCTATTTAAGGTGTATCGCGTGCGGCATTTCGATGTCAAATGCACGTTACAATAAAACGAGCGTCACGCGAGCAACCGTACTCACGACGTGAGCGGGGCCGAGCCGAGCCAACAAAACATCGTGCACCCTGGCCCTGCACACACGGCACACAGCGCCACTGTGCGCCACTGTGCGACAGGCCCGCAACCCGCCTTTTGTATGCTTCCGGCGGAGGGGAAAACTAAAATCTTTCTTTACATTTTTGTTACTAAACTTTTACATTCTTTGAAGCTCAAAAATGTAGTATGTAAGTAACTATAACAAATGTATGAACAGTATAGAAGGGTGGTAACACGAACTGAAGAGAGATTTTTATGTAAAAAATCACTGAATAAATTTGTTATTAAACCAATAGAAGAAGATTTTCACAGGATAAAAATTCGACCTGAATTACGTAAACTTTTAGGTAGTCTATATAAAACCGACATGTCACCTTGAACCTAGTTTCAGCTTGAACAAGCCGCAAGTCGAGTGGATTAGATCCGTGCTCTGTTCATCAAACACAAAGGATGTCAAGGAGTTAAAAAGCCACGAAAGAGATATTAATTAAGTGAACGAAGTAATTTATATCGCACAGTGATATACCAACTTGAAAAGTCTAGAGCTTTGACCTAACTACTAACAGCCAATAATCAAAATGAAAAACATTGTTCGTACGATAGCCATAAGTAATTCATATGAATATATATAATTGGCGATATATATCGCCAATTTTTTTTTTGCCTACAGTACGTTTTTAGAACATTTACAATCAATTTACTTTGGTGCCAAATTTAATACGACCGCAAAATCCAAACGCGACCTCAATAAAGTCTCGGAATAGAGGTGTTCTAGTTAGGTACACATCAAAGCTGTGTAGGGACCCTCAATTAAGTCCACTGATGTGGCAACGGAGCTCGGCCCACACACCGAGCTAAGCGCCAGTCGACGAGATAAGCGACCCCCAGCGTACGGCGTGCCCCCGCCGTTGTGTGCCACCCCACCGTGCCTCCACCCCGGCGTGCCCCACCCCTTCGCCTGCCGCCGGCCGAGGGGTCGCCGCTGCACTCGTGAAACCGCTTTTATTCAACGTTAGACCTCGTTGTAATTAAAATACATAAATTATGATGAATCGATGTACCAAAGCCAGCATTACCTAAAATTAAATATATGAAGAGATTAACAACTTGAAATAAAAAAGGGTTAACTTAAAAAAAAAAACCCTTTTTATTGCCATTCTAAAAATATACAGTGTTAAACAAAATAAAAAACAACTTTAATTGCATAGTGAGTAATAGTTCAAGTATTTTAATTTATTTCGTTTAATTTAACATAACAGCATACAACACAACAACCCATAACCAGCTACATTTATGGTTTATATAACTGGTACTCCATTTTAACAAATGCCTTTAAAGATTTTTTGTATTTCCAAAAATAAACAAAATAGTCGTTGCTGTGGAAAACCCTTTCTCTAACTGAACTGGTTGCTCGTTGCTCTTGTAAACAAATAAAGCTAAATGAAAAAAGTGTTAGTCTGGTTTTTGTTTATGCTTCGGAAGCGGAGGGGCGGGGTGGCTCCCGCGGGCTGCGGCAGAGGGCGCTCACAAAGGGTTGCGAGCGGAGCGACCAGTAGCCCGGACCTGGATAAATATTTAATGCAATACACATCGATACTTTGATCTTTTAACTTTGGCATCAGAAATAAACATAATTTGACGGAACTTATTTTTTTAAATAATTGCTAGTAAAGTTCATTCTCATATCACGATATTATGTGATAATTGAGATCCTTAAAATTGTCTGAAGAAAATAAAGCATTCACGAACCGCAATCCAAAGTAATCTAATGTTGTAAAATTTAATTCTGATTACCTACGAAAGTCACTCTGGCCTCTACGGCGCGGCGTAGCACATAGCTACGAAACGTTGTAAACGTGTAACTATCTCATATACGAGTAGACGCGAATACGTCCAAAAGAAATGCAGCTTGCTTCAAATCAAACATACCCGAGCAACTATTGTAACCAGTTAACATTTAAATCTATCTATGCTTAATTCTATACTATGTTTTCTAATTCTTAGTTATTAATGCACTTCAATAACAAACGTGATATTTCAAAATTCTAAACATGAAAATAACTTTCTGTTAATATAAAAAACTCCTTCGTTCTTAACAGAACCGATGTTTCTCTCGTCTCGTCAATATTTACATGTTAAAATGACATTTCCCGACAGAGTGTCTTTAAAGAGCTTCAATGAGCAATACTTATGGAGCAGTAGGCAGGGACTACAGGGCTCTAGGGACGCTCGCATTTCATTTAACGGCCGCCTGACACGTGGGACGCCGGGTCATAGGGAACGCCGAACGATGCATTTCACCGGGAAACTCGTTGAGTCCTTGAACCCTGTGATTATAGCTACAAGGGTGTGGAAACCCTTTTACTAAATTGCAACTATAAGATCAAAGGACTTTTCGTCGGCTAAAATTATTAATGGACGATCAATAGAAACAATTCTGTTTCGAGCAGTTTTTCCTTAGCCGTAAAATTTTTATTATTATTTTTAATCCTTAAAGATTGTAACAACAATCGAAGATCATACAAGGTTGTTGGTTGTTGGAGGACGACAGAATGGCTTTTGTAGTTGTCTGTAATTGTTATTTTGGTATGGAGTAATAAAATCCTTTTTTGGGTCGGTCACAGGTAACGAATATTAGTTTTAGTTGTAGTATTTGATGTTCTTCCCAGGTGAGATGTGGACGTGTGTGGAGAGTGGGGGCGGAGGTGGCGCGGCGCCGTGCTCGCGCGCCAAGCACTCAGCGACACTGCTGGGCGGCCACCTGTACGTGCTGGGCGGCCGCGGCGCCGGCGGCTCTCTACCGCTCAGGGACTTTTGGCGGTATTCCCTCGGTAACTACATACAAGACAAGATAGTTTTAGAGTCACTCAGTGACATCTAAATGTATGTCAATTACTTCGTTCTTCAGTGTTTGCTAGCCAATGTTACGTAAACACTCAGTTACTCCAGTAGGTGCTGTAGATTGGTGGCAGTCTGCCAGCCGCGGGCCGGACGTGCTCTATCACAATTTATCTCCACTCGTCGATACTGAGGGTTATTCTCGGTAAAATGTTTAGAAAAATTGTTATGTTGGAAATTTTATTTAGGCATGTTTTATTCAGATTCAAAATCGCTTCTAACATTTTTATTTTGATGGTGATAATTTACGACAATGTCGCCGTTGCATTTAGCAGTTGTGTTTTGTATGTGTCAGAACGCGGCGAGTGGGAGCGTCTGGAGCAG